GCTGGATCATCAAAAAATTTGATACTGATTTTTTTTGCGATGATCTGGGTGGACACATAGTCCTCTTTTAGCAGACACAGACGCATTTGCTCCAATATCAGCTCRACCTTCTCACGTTTGTCCATCGAGCCGTAAGTTTCTACTTGCAGCTCTTCCATGACCGCAGCTGCACCTGCCACATCTCCGTCAGCTTCCTTAATGTCCGCTAAAATTTTAGTTAAACGTGCACGTTCAATTTCTACATAGATTTTGCCTTCGGTTACGGAACGCAATGTATCGATCAGCTTCAGCTTGGTCTCCTTATCGGGCGTCTTATCCACATATGTGCAGCATTCCTGGATCATCTTGACCACCGCCTGTTTCAGTTGCGAGCGGCGACGCACGAGCAAYGAGACGTACTCATTTAATGCATTCCAGTTGCCWGCCTGGAGGCATATCTGGCAGATGGCCACCAAYACACGTGAACATGATACCATGTCAGCACCCAGACGTGTTTGTTTCTCCAGCTGGAGCATCATTTCGATCGCTTCATGAAAGGCGTCGGGATTCTTTTTGGCCAACTCCATGGCCATGGGGATTTTCTCATTGCAGGCAGGTTCATAGTCCACCTCCATTTTGGTAATGCGACCGCCATCGAACAAATAGGTATCCATAATGAGCTTCAAATCAAAATTTAAATAGAATTATTGTTGAAGTTGTTGTTGTAAATTGCAGGTATGACAAGGCAAATTTTTTTTGTGCCGATACTTACATTTTGTTACGTAGTACTAAAGCAAGGCGTATTTAAGGTTATTAAACGGAATAAACTTAACTATTTGCCGCCCTATTTGCGGTTGCTGTTATTAAAATCCTTTTTTTCTGGGGCAGAAGCAAATAAATGCGGTGAATTTCGATTAAGACTCTGCAGAAATTTGCTTACAAATGATGTTAAGTTGGCTGCGCGTAATATCAGTGTTGAGCAGTGTCTGACAAACAATGCATTTTCAAACTGAAGCAAATTTCAGAACTAGACTGATTTAAAAATTTGTTCAAATAAAAGATAGTTTACTATTTTAGGATAGAAAATGCCAGCTGGTAAAAGGAGATGGCTATCACAACAATATAGCAGATACAATAAAAAATCTAAAACGCGCAAACCTACGGTAAGTTTTGCATCCCTGGTGTTGCATTTTAGCTTCACTGCACAACACTTCCAGCCTTTGTTAAGCCGCGAAAGAAATTCGCTAATAAGTAAATTGATCAATTGTTTTATAAAAAGTGCATATAAATTCCTATTTCTGTCAAGAGACTACGTTACGCTATTCGAAAACTAACTCCTTGCACAGTGTCGCAAGCGTTTGCTATTTCGACGCTACAATTACAATCACATTTTGCGCGCCAATTTGTGGAACAGCCGAAAGACAATTACCAAAATGGCACAAATTCAGGAATATCAGGATCTGGTGCTCGATGCCCTTGAGGCAGTGGAGTTCAAGCTAAGTAAGTCTAGGATTGTATAATTTAGTCGTGTCGCATTCAAGTTCTCAATTACCCGCTTGCAGTACGCGACAAGGCGGACATTAACAACGATGCCTTAATATTTCACCCCGCCATGGCGCATCAGATATTTGGTGAGTCGGAGACCATATTCGGTTATCAGGGGCTGCACGTGCGAGTTCTGTATACGGCTGGCCCGTTGCATATCTACCTCGGCGTTGAGTACGAGAAACGAGTCAATGAAATATCTGGTGGAGAAATCAAAGCTGACGACGTGGTCGCCACAATTGCTCAAAGTCTACCAGACGGCTGCTATTTCATTAATTTGGATGAGTTTCTCAAGACGCTTGACAAGGCCGACAAGTTTCAGCCCTTTGGTGAGAAACTCAGCGAATACAGTCGGCGCGCCGAGGATGGCAGCGAACGTCTCTTCGAAATCTATCAATGTGACTACAARTCRTCGTCATTTCTAAAGTTCTTTACGCGTCTGCAAACGTTCATATTATGGTTTGTTGACGCTGCCTCCTATATAGACACCGATGATACCCAGTGGTGTTACTTTATCTGGTAATTTGAATTTCGTATACGATATGAATTTCCTTTTCAAGTCCAGTTAATTTGTTTTTAGCTATGAGAAATATAAGAATAAGGATGGCGAATACCAGTATGCAACTGCTGGCTACACCACTGTCTATGAGTACTATGCATATCCGCAGAATAAGCGTCCGCGAATTAGCCAAATGCTAATTTTGCCGCCATTCCAGAAATTGGGTTTGGCCACCCAGCTAGTGGAAACAATATACAAGTTCTATCAAAGTCAGAAAAATGTGGTGGACATAACCGTAGAGGATCCATCCGAGGACTTTCAGAGATTACGCAACTTTGTGGACGCCCGCCTGTGTCTGGAGCTGAAATGCTTTTCCCGTGATATAATCAAGAAGGGTTTCACCAAGGAAATGGTACGCGAGGCACGGGAGACCTTAAAACTGAATCCACGCCAGGTTCGCAAGGTATATGAATTGTTGCGCCTATACTACACCAATGTGCATGATGAAAAGGAATATAAAGCCTATCGTCTGGAAGTTAAGAAACGCCTCAATGCCGTTTACTACAAACAGCTGAAGGATCTTCAAAAGATGGAACGCTATAAAATGGATACGGAGATGTTGCGGGCACGTTTGCCCAATGCCAAACAGCGCATGGAACAGCTGCAGGAGGAGTATGCGCTCATCGAGCAGGATTACAAGAATACAATTGATAAGCTACGGGCCTAGATCTACATAAATAAATATAATGCCGTTGGGTGTTTGATTAATTTATTATGTTTTCCGTTCTAAATATGTTGATTACAAAATACAATTTGTTGCTATAAGCTTATAGTAGGATTCTGTCGAATAAATATGCATTAAAAAAAGTACACACGTTTATATGTGTATATGTTTGTTTGTGTGTGTGTGTGCGTCCATGAAGAGCATAATTTGAGGAGTGTGGGCTCTTGAGCAATTAACTATATAGAAAACACATTTCTTCTGTATATGGTTATATATCAGCGATACATATAGTTTATACAATAATTAAATAAAATATTGCGTATTGGAAGTACATACGTATGGGAGTGCGGAGAAGGGTACTTTATAAATTTGGTGCTGCGACAGCACAAAGATCGTACAACTAGCAGGAGCCGTACTCCTCCATCCACTTCTCGAAACGTGCCACATCGTCAGCTGAAACAGTTTTCTTGGTGCGCTGCTGTGCATCCTGAAAGTCTTTGAGTGTGATCGGCTGATCCACGTCCTCGCGGCGTATTTGCTTGATCTGCTGCGGCGTGCGGCCAGAGATGAGACGACGCATTGCCATCATGGAGGCATCGCGGCACACATTGCTAATGTCCGAGCCGGAATAACCCTGCAGCTCGTCTCCAATCAATGTCGTATTGATATCTGGCGATAGTGATACATCCTTAAGGTAGAGCTTCAGCAGCGCCGAGCGTGTTTCCTCTGCGAACAAAAGGCAACAAAAATGTCAGTTTAGATGTAGATGCCCCATATAGAGAGATCTCACCATTGGGCAGCGGTATGTAGATGCGCTTCTCGAAACGTCGGCGAAAGGCCTCGTCAATGTCCCAGGGATGATTTGTTGCCGCCAGCACCATAATGATCTTATCATCCTGTAGGCTAGCATTCAGGCCATCCATTTGGATGAGCAGCTCTGCCTTAAAGCGTCGGCTAGCCTCGTGCTCAGAGTCGCTGCCGCGCGATGCGCAGAGGGCATCGATCTCATCAATGAAAATGGTGCTCGGCGCATAGAAGCGGGCCATCTCGAAGAGCAGACGCACCAGTTTCTCGCTCTCGCCCCGGTACTTGGATGTTAGTGTGGAGGAGGACACGTTGAAGAAGGTTGTGCCGCATTCGGTGGCCACGGCTTTGGCCAGCATCGTTTTGCCCGTGCCTGGTGGACCGACCATTAGGACGCCGCGCCAAGGTCGGCGTATTCCCTTGAAGAACTCTGGCATTATAATGGGCAGCACAACGGCTTCCTGCAATCAAAGAATGCATATGGATACCATATACTCTATATACTCAATCAATTTCACCTGCAATATTGTCTTGGCCTCGTTGAGACCCGCGACCTCAGTCCATTTGATGCACGGATGTCGCTGGAGTATGTCCTTCTCCAGCGTATCGACCAGGTGGCCCTCATAGCCCAGCGGCGAGAAGTGCTTGATCTTGATCTTCGGTGAGCATCTGGGTGTATTGTGTGWGGTTGATTGGGCATGCGAATTGTCCTCTATCGATGTGGTCGCATCCTGATCATCTGAATTTGAGTTGTCGTCCAACGAGTTCTTCTTAACCGGCCGTTGCTTCAAAGTCATCTGCGTGTTGGTGCTCAGCTTGCGGGCGCGCAATCGCTCTACGGATCGACTCTTGCGCACGGCTGCTGTCAGAGCGGAGGCTCTGCCGGGTCGACTCAGCCGTAGACCAATGCCCGTGGTGCTGCCCGTGTTGTTTGCCCCGAGACCCACATTGCCAGCGCTGCCATGATGACTCTGGCTCAGGCTGTTGCTGTTCAGATTGCTGTTGATGGAGGGCAGCGTTGGCTGCAGCTCCGGATCGCGGCGCCGCAACGAGGATACCCAGCGAGTGTCCTGCTGCTGTTGCGAGGGAAACGGCATTGCTGTGTGGCTGGGGCGCGGCTGCGGGGCAACCTCTGCATCATAGACTGTGTTTAGTTGTGGGGTGAGCAGACAATGGAAAACTACTGGCACAAACCTTGTGTGGGCAAACGCTGTTGCTTGCCGCGCGTCGGCGGCGCGCCCCCGATGCCCAAGCCATTGGGAGCATTGGCGCCCAGATTGTTGATGGGTCGATGAGGATTGACGCTGATGTGCTGCGTATGCTGCACATTCTCTGTCGCGGGCTTCTTCAAGCTGCTGCTACAGTTGCTATTGCGTGGGGGTCGGCTTGTGGTGGTGATTTTGGTGAAGGCATACGGGGACAGCGAGTCCAGGATCAAGGAGTCCATCATACGCGCCATATGGGATAAGCTTGCTGGTGGCGTGGCAGAGCTGTGAAATAGAAGAGGGGGCATATAATATCAGCATGCCTGATAAACGCTGCAGCACGCCATTGGCCCTGCACATTCAACATGGCTAAGGTCATTTGTTTGGCTTATCAGCTGGCGACATCCAAGTCCCTTTGCGTGCGCCGCATCAAGTCCAGTCAAACTTTGTCTAGTCTAGTCTAGTCTAGCAACATTTGAGTCGTTTGCTTTGCCCACCCCATACACACACACACACACACACATGCACATGAGTTATTTCTAGGAAGTCTAGTTCGTGTGGCTAAAGCGTGCGCCTGCCATACACAAGCAGCGAATATATTCCAGCATATACATACATACAGACATATGCAAAACAGTTCGAGAGTTCATTAAACCTGGGCGATGGAATGCCACCCAGGTTATTGACGTGCCGGCGACAATTGTTATTGTTGACATTCACATGCGTCATCGTTCTTAACTCCAATTTAACAACTCAGTTACAAGTACATGTTGCCACATTTTGTTCTATTTCTACCTTTATCAGGGAAAATTCTCGCACGCTGAAAAGTATGCTATATATTTTCTACATCCTTCTGCCAAACTAATTAAGTTGGCTGCAGTCGGCCATATTTCTCAGAACCGGATGTGTTCTCATTGCGCGCCCATAAACAATTGGGTTAATGTTTCTGATACGGCCGCCAGCAGGCACCCACGTTCCAGAGCCAGAGATTTGTATGTGATTAGCTGCCTAACTGGGCCAACTTTTTCGCTTGTAGAGTCATTAAAGTGGATGATCCGCCTATTTGACCTATTTCTATGTGTATATATCAATAGAGCTTCGATACTCAGTACTCAGCTATATAAATATCACGTTTGATTGATGGCTTAAGTGGCACAAGGCTAGAAATAATTGACAAAAACTGTAATCTAGATTAGTTGATAGCTCAGCTCAGTTCTCATCCTCTCTAGTCGAGTTGCCTTCATTGTTTTTATGAGCCAGTTACGGCTCATGCATGTCACTGCAAAAGGTGTTTATGTTAATTTCAGTTCCACAGAAAGGCAACCTAAGGAACCGTCAATTTATGCAAAAATAACAGCCAATGGCAATTATGACTGGCAAAAACGTCAAGTCGGGTCAGCGAGGCGTCTGATAGTAGGTGAAGGACTGGGAAACTTACGTCTTTGTGCGAATCAATTTATTATATCGTTTCTATAGAAAATGGGTTGGAGTTCTGTTTTTTAACAAAGTAACAAGAAGTGTTCAGACTATAACCGCAAGCTGAACATTTTTTTTTTCTCTATTAAAGTCGTGGAAAAGACATAAAAACTGTTTGAAAAAAGAGTTTGGAACACCGGCAAATGGATAGAACTGTTGCTAAATATCCATTTAATTTTGAAGTTAAGGCCTGAAATGTTAACAAATTTCTAAGCTTTTACAATAATGAAGAGAGAAGAAAAGACAGCCAGACGTAAATGGCAGAGCCACTCAACAAAGTCATGGCTAAGGAATGAATCAGAGGAAAACCAACCGAGTCTCAAGATCGGACTATGGACTATGGACGATATATATATTTACCACTGATGCAGATCCCAGAGCGAATGATATGGTGTGTGCCGGTAGCCAGACATRAAGGGCATGGCCACTTCATACTCCACTTGAACGTTGGGCGGAGATTGTGGGCGAACTACCAGCGCTGTGCGCTCCAATGCAGGATTGGAGCTGGCCAGCGTACGCTGACGCATAAAAGGCTGTGACTGTAGTCCATTGTTRATGTGATTGTTATTGTKGTTGTTGCTGCTATTGTTGTTGTTGTTGAGCGATTGATTCATGTGGCCGCCAGTTGCTGGAGCTTCAGCAACCGATTGGCCCATGCCAAACCAATTTTGCGCGTTCGTATTGAACATGGCTGTCGGCGTCAGCAACAGCAAATGCTTCTTTATCAAGAACACTAGCAATTTGGAAGGTTGACTATAAATTTTCGAATTATGCTCAAGTCTGACGGAAAACTCGAAATAATGCGATGTGCTGCGACGCTCGACGTGTGTCGGCCCCAAGGGTTGTAGCCCAACTGACCACGAAACTGGACAACGGACGACGCTTTCGTCCACAACAAAAGAAGCTAGCTCAGTATTTGTTTGGCGGGTAGTTTCTGGTTACCTGTGTATGTGTGTGTGTGTGTGGTTGAATGTGTGAATATGAAATGAGGTTAAAGGAAGTATTGCTTTGAGTTTTTGTTGCTCAGTTATTGCCTCCACCGGGCCATCCAATGGTCAACGCACGCTAACCCAAGCAACTCAAACTCAAGCTAAAGAAACCATCGATTTCTGCGACCAGCTCAATCACACACACACACAAACACGCTTATACACATACATGTTGAAAGGGATTAGAATGTATTACAATAATTTTTATAATAATTAGTCGTTTGTTTATGCCGGCTTTAATTGCGCGCTTGCATGCAGCCTTAGTAGCGGGTCCTAACGCCAACATATCATAAAATATCAAGTCGTTATGTACATATTTAAAATGTATATATAGCGCATTTGCTTGGAGTGTCTTGTCAACAATTCAACTCAAGCTCAGCAGCAGATCAGGCAACCAAAGGTCGCCTTTACATAGTACACATTTCTAGTTATAGACAAATCAGCTGCCAGAGATAAAAATCAATACGCAGCGAGAGGAAAAAGTGCAGTCAAGGCACGTTGAAGTGGCCCGGCACGCCTCTGGCAGGCGGATGGGGGACAATTTGAGGTCTGCTTACTCACCCTGCACCCATCATAGGCAAATATGTGGAAGTGGAGTCCACGGTGCGTATGGTGGTATTGCCACGCAGAACAATCTTTTCGCGTGTGGTGCGTCTGTAGGTCTCCTCGCCGCGCATCTTTGAACTTTAATTTCGCGTATTACCAGAAATAAATATTTCAATTTTCGATATTTTTACTTATTGAAATTTTTTTGTTGTTGTTTTTTTTTTTTTTTTTAATTTCACTTGTTTACTTTTGGCCAAAAACTGTTGAAAAATGTTGGCGTCTGTTGTTCCTACAGGCGATGTCGAAATGTGCTGAGAGCGAACGGAAATGCTTGATGCTGCGGAAGCTGTGTGCCAGCAGCCATTGCTCTCATTGGTAGCGGCTCTCTCTTTTTTCTCCTTTTTTTTGTTGGCTTTCTCTCTTCTCTCAGCTGTGCGAGTTGCGCAACTTGGAAATTGCAGCAAAGCGACGCGACGTCACGACGCGCTGCACAAACGGCCACTAACTGGACGCAATGTTGGCTGGTCAGCAGCATTGCATGTTTGGGCCAAACTCAGCTGGTGAAAATGGTGAACATATTGGGGAGGTTTGCATGTTCGCCCCCTGCTGTTATGCATCTACAACACCATAGAATTTCTCATGTAGCAACATGGCCTCTGTTGGTGCAACAGCAGCAGCTCTATATGTTAAATTTCTGTTGCATACTTTGAGTGACTAATATAAACATACATGAGTATATCTAATTTATAGATGGGGTATTGATATCAATTAGCTATTCTCATAGAATATAAATTAGTCTTATCCAGCTGACATTATTCCTACAGATCTGTATACCAAAAAATAATTTCACTGCCTCCATTTAGTAAATACACATTTGTTGTTTAACCCACTCAGAAGAACAAATATTTATGCATCTTTATTGATTGATTTTTAAAAACTACTTGTAAATTCTGACAGTAAATGACCATTCGAAAAACAGTATTTAAATTCGTGAAATTTTTTATATACATTTCACATTATTTGTTTTACAAATTTGTTATTTTGGTTTTTGAAAACTTTGACTTTATTTAAGCAGTCAAATCGAATTTAAATAATCGTAAAATCGTTAATTCGTAAAATATATAAATATATATATATATTTTTGGGCAGTTTACCAAAACAAACGACACACATACATTAAAAAACAAATGAATTATACGCATGTGCTTCTTAAAATAATCAAAAACATAAACGCAATAAAAACATTTCGATAGTTTTGTTTAAAACCTAATAGTTTCAAATGTACTCATTTATCGTATATATCAATATAAACGTAAGTACTTAATAATTATATATTAACCGTTTCTAACAAACACGAGGCACGTCGAAATGTAAGTAGACCACAAAAAAGAATATTAAGTTTATATCTTGTTGTTGTTTTGTTTCCTTATTGTATTGGGAAATTTGGTGGCTTCAGTTGCATTGTTGTCGACTCGACTTTATAAGGTTGCATGTGTATTGTATGTATATATAGGTAATTCCTCATAGATTTCTCATTTGTAATGTATGTAACGCTTGAACGTTTTAACTTTAACAATAACTTTAACGTTGGTAATTATTTGTATATTTAATTTTTGTTTTTTTTTTTTTCGACAGAAACTATTATGTCTTGACTGTACTAAAAACGTGCGTTAATCTAACAGCTGCTTTAATATTATTTACGTTTTGCTTTTGTGCACTAGAGAGATAGTTTTTATTCCTTTTGTTTCAAATTATTTACAACTAGCCCTACAGCTTCTTGCTTTGTCGTTTTACTAATTTGGCGAGTATATAGTTTAAATATTTCCATGACCCAAGTGATTTACTGAAATTTACGTGTGGCTGTGCGTGCCTTCCAGGCCTTGACTAGATTGTACGCGAAGTACAGTGTGAATCCGTGTATCTGAAAGCCTACAAAACAAAAACCATACCAGAACACTCCATACGGAAAACCCTAAAAGAGAAGATTATTTAATTTCCGTTTATGGTAGGTTTTTTTTAAAGAGAGTTCACTTACGCGCCATAGAAAAATGTCTGTCTCATCGAGTTCCACGGACTTGTCCATGGTCAAAAACTCCCATACGTCACTCGAGTAATAGACGAAACAATATAAAAGCGGCAGCACAGCCATTACGAAAATTGCAATAATATACTTTTGCATATCGCGCACCTTGTTGCCGCGGGACGCTGAGAGGCCGAGAAATGAGGTGAGCAGCGAGGCAGCCCAAACGTACTCCCACCATAGCGGCGGGGGCACCTCCAACTCTTCGATTTCTAGCACAAATATGTCCAAGCGATCCAATATATCCGACGTCAGCTTGGCCAGCATGACAAAGAATAGCAGGGCATGAAAGAAAATGCAGTACTTTAGGCGCGATTTGTTCAACAAGCTGCAAATAGAGAAAAAAATTTGTTTAATTTGTATAAGTATTTGTCTCGTTAGTTGTTTTCTTCGATTGTTTGGTAGGCTGCAGCCGTTGGCTATCCAAAATGTGTACACAAACAATGTTGTTGTTGCTGTTGTAAACAGGCACACATGCTGACTGTCTCGCTGGCACTTTGCCCACCCACTCTGCGGGTGCTGCCTGGCTGGCTGGCTGGCGGACTGTTTGTCTGGCTGGTGCAGCTCGTCTGCAGCAGGAGTTGCAAGTTGATTGCTGTCAATTGCGGTGTCATGACCTTTTGGGTTTTTGGCAATGCTGGGGCTCAACTACTTGCAAGTAATTAGATAATTTTGCCAAGATTTTAGAAAGTGTTATTAACCTAATTTGATATGTGTTGGCCACTTTYTGCCTAAACTCGAAGTCRTTGCCGTCGGTGCCCGCGACCATTGGACCGCCGCGAGTTGCCATTTCGGTGCGTCAATTTGATGCCGTTTCTTTGGAAAATTGTAACTACTTAAACAAWATTTAACTGTCTTCAAGCACTTCTCACAACATTTACTCGGACGATAGGTTGTGGCGGTGGGTCGATTGCGGTGATGTTGATGACACAAGACAAGTGTTGGCTAATTCGAAAAAGGCATTTCACTGTGCCAAATTCGACCACATGAACGAACAGCTTGTAGTAAATTGTGGCGGTCGGCCAATAGCCGGTTCTAGTGCTGTAAATCGTCATCAGATTTAAAAATAAGACGCGAAATGCTGATTTAATATAATTTTTTGCATCTTTGTAGCTGTACGATTTGCATAATTAAGTACACTTTGGTATGCAAATGTATGCTTTATTGAGCCTAAATTTGGTAAGTGGATATCTTGTAACGTTAGACTTGAAACTAATTTGCTCAGGCAACTGCGTCACTACCACCTGTTGCTTTTTTGCATTTAAATCCATAAATCAATGCACGAATGACCGAACAATGAAGAGTGCAACAAGCGCATATTTAAAAATAAAATACTACATCCAAAATACCTACTTATTTTTATATTCTGTGTTGTTGCTCTTTCAAGACAATTCGCTAATGTACTATGCGCTCTTTGTCTGAGCTCTTCGCTCACTGGGGCTACAAAAGTCGATTCAACCGTTAAAGTGACATCAGTTCTTCGGCGGTATTCTTTAGCACAACGTCTTGACGTGAGGCGCATGCGATCGGCAACGGAGTTTTCATTTACTATTGAGAATAAGCGCAATCTATTGATGCCAGTTATTGACAACTATTGCCCAATATTTTTTGCTGAGATAGGCAGCTGAGTTGCCTACACTCTTTCGTGTCTTAGTGTCTATGTGCTGCGCTTAACGGTAAACATATGTATATTTATATAATATTCGTTAAAATTCAAATGACGCTCTTAGCATATTTTGCATTTACAAAAATTAATGTGTGCGCATATTTTATAATATTTCTGCATGTGTGTATGTGCTTAATTTGTCTGTTGATATTCTGCCCGAATTCAAAATTATTTCTGTAGAAATATTTTGCAGCTGCCATCACATCCGCTTGTCATTGTTGTTAATGCGTTTTCATTGTTTCGATTTTTGGCAGCAACTATCGCAGTTTGTAAATAAACTAAATATTAAATATTAATGCAACCGTCAAGCTATGCATGTTGAGTGTTTGTGTGCCTTACAAGCTTGCGAATGCCATCGATCATGTGATATAACTTAGATAACAGTAAACAAATAACTATTATGAATTGTGTTAAATTATTAAGTGCTGGCACTCTCTGCTTGTCTCGTTGCAGCCGGTCTTCGTGTATTGAGTTCAATTAAAATAATTTAAAACGCATCGAGTCCAAAGATAGTGTATCCATACCTGTTACCAAGACCAAACCATGTCCGTCCTTGCCGCTGAGAAACGCGCCTCGTTTGCGCGCCGGGCCGAGAGTTTGGTGGAGAGGGTGAGAATTTTGAATACCATATATGAGGTAAAYGGTATCAAGTGACCAAAATGCGTGAGATAAACCAATTTATTTTTGCTTTCTGCTCTATGCTGTTTATTTTAATTTGCAGTTTGTTAATTATACACGAGCTGCCCAATTATTGCGACCTCTACAATGAACTCTTACAATAACATTTCGCACTTTGATATGGCAAATTCAATTTCGTTTAGTGTATAAACTGAAATGCAATGCCTTCTCGCTGCTTTATATTTATGTACATGTATATATACTTCTATGTACATATAGTTGATATCAATACTTATTTGATTAGACGTTATGGGCGTGGGTGTAAGGCATTACGAATTTAGACTCGAGCAGACGTGCTTATTTGACTTGGCTCGCTGCCCTGGCTTTGGCATGCTCTGTCAATTAATCTCTTATATTATATGGCCAACCAAATAAACATTTAGATATACATATATTGTRCATGTAGATATAATATATATGTGTTAGCACTTGGTTGCAATTTATTGCACTAACGATCAAGGACCCGACATGTTTACCAACAGGAAGTGTTTGCTTGGCTGTTGTTGTGTCTATTCGTTCCATTACGAAATGGATTGCCCTCTCAATTGACTCTTTGTTTCTTAATTACTCCAGGGCTATGTAATTTTGGCGCAACGTCAACGCCAATGACTGTGTGTTTTTCTCTAATAGCCAGAGATGTCGATGATTGTGCTCTGTTTTGGGGCACAAAAAAGTCGATGTACGCTTGGGCTAAAAATAAATCTCTCAAATTAAGCAGTTCACGAAATTGGCTTTATAATTTGCAAAGTGAATGCGTCTTTATCGGGCTGAGTAGCTCTCGCAGTGACATCAATTGAATGAAAACAGTGCAATAAATAGTTACATCGATGTATTTACATATCTATCCATATATGCATGCACACATACAAAGCTGTAGCATTAATTAAGCGGGCGAAGCAAACACAATCCATTTACGAACATACATATACATTCATACACATGCATACACACACACACAGTTGGCCATTGACCGAACATATAATTTGTATTGTAGCAACAGCAATTTTAATTGAACGCCAAATGGTGTGTGTAATGCTTAGACAGACGAGGGCAGTTCTTATTGTTCCGATAGATATTAATTATTACAAATATTTAAAATTAAATGAAAAGAATATTAATACATATGAATGGAATAAAAATTATACAATTTTCCTTAGTTTTTCCTCGAATATTTCCTTAAACTATTTTTTCGAAGTATTTATCAAAAAGTTTCAGAGTAAAGAGTTTTCAGTAGAAGAATTCTGTCTTTACTGCTTCGCTGAACGATCATTAAACATTTTTACACAGTTGGCTTTTCTTTACTTTACTTTAATTCACTTCACTATACTGCATTGAACGACTGACCTCCATTAGGCCTGGGTGACTGAAGAAAAAGCTGCAGCTGCGACCCTATATATAGGCCGAATTTCACTCAAACTCTTAGTCGAGCTCAAATGTTAAGTCCGACGACAGCTAAGGATCGTAATAGTCGATCTTTAAGTGACCAATAGGAACAGACTCTGCTGCGTCAAGCATTTAGCTTCGTAGGAATCGTAGCAGTCGATCTCTAAGTGGCCAATGCTCTCTGCTCTCTGCTGCTGCAATTATTAGAGTTTCGTTTGACCTAATTACAAACATGAGACATGTTGCAGTATTAAGCAACATACATATAGAAAAATATATATCAAATGACAAATGATCTTCTGTAGCTCTT